ATGCCGGCACGGGCAGGTACCGGGGCACCGGGGGCACCGGGCACGGCTGGCTGCTTGCTGCAGTGCCTGGGGAGCAGCTTCCCCCCGAGGGCCCGGAGCATCCAGTGGGAAGCGGGGAGTGGTGCTTTGCCCATCAGACGGTGGGTGCCGCGTCCCTGGGACGTTCCCCTGGGACGTCCCTGGGAAGTTGGACGTCCCTGGGAAGCAACGTTGGGGGTTTTCCTACTGTGTGCCCAGGGAGGCGAGTGCCGCGCTCGGGGCAGGGTTTGGCATGGCCGCTGAGCTCGAATACAGGGCCCAGTGCAAGGAGGGAGGCTGCGAGGTTGGCATTGGTGCAAGCTGCAATATTGCAAAATGAGCGCATCACCAAAACAAAAATTATAGCTTGGTTTTGGTGCTGACAGTTATCAAGGGGCGCTTTGGGGAGCAGTCATAATCTCGGTCAGCTGCTCTGACTCAAGTATCCACGTTCAGAGGAGCGGCAAGATGTTCACATCAGCGATGGACTGGCTGCCTCTGGAACACAGTGTTGGCGGAGCAGGGCAGGGGAGGAGGTGATGGGCAGGATGTTCCAGGGAGAGTCCCGACATACGTGCAGAGCCCAGCTCTTGTGCTAGCAACACTTGTACTGTGCACCGTTGCAAGCAACTATCGCACGTGTCTCAAATATTGAAAGAGATCAGCAAGTTTAGGAAGTCTCAGCAGGCTTCTACATTTTCTAAGTTGTCTATGTCCCTTTACAAGTAACATAGGCATGAATAAAGATTTTCCTTTATTGTGCTTTCTAATAGAGCTTGAGATAAGGAAATTTCCTCCAAGCAGAATATCAGGAGCCTCTCTGGGACTTCCAAACTGGGATGGGCCAGCAGACATTTGAGCATGGATTGAAATGTATTTTAAAATGTATTATATGGGTCACACTGATGACCTTGAATCTTGATACCTTTTCATTCCAGTACTGTGCACTAAGAGCAGCAAACTTGAGTTTGGAAGCAACATTTCTGGCTCTGCAGGAGCTTGAGGTCAGGGGATTGAAAGCTCTGGTTTTCTGCGTCTGTTCCTTACTTCTTTTCTTCTGGCTGCTCCCTGCCTGTAGCACATCAGCCAAAGCACCTTTGTCCCTGCTATGGACTATGTCGGGTTTGTTAGACGATGTGCCCTGTGAGAGCTTTGAAGCCAACGCGTTTGCAAAGAGCCTGTGCCAGCATTGCTTCCACGTGGCGGGGGCTCACCAGCACGCGAGCCAGGTGAGCACCACCGTCCCACCTGGAGGCTGCGAATGCTTCACTGAGGGCCCCTCTGTTTGGGGTTGGGACCCCGTGTGCCTTTGTAGATATGGAAATCTCCAACACAAAGGCTCAGCAGGGCTTTCTAGGTGGGAGAGAAGGCTGAGTGAAGAGAGAGTCTTCCCAGGCAGGGAGAATCCTGCATTTACCTGTGCCCACAGACTGGCATCAAGCCCAGAGCTGCTTTAGGGAGAAAGTGCTGGACGTGAAGCATCAGGAGCTCCATACATCCCAAAACAGAATGTAGGGTTCTTCCAGATACCAGTACATGTGCATGAATGGTGACAGGTAAGGAAGGGGGAACCGGCAGAGCAGGCTCTGACCCTTATCTGGATCTAATCCTTGCTGATTCCACCTGCTGCTGTTCATAGCAGCTTCCCCTATAGCTCTGTCCTGGCATGTGTCCCTAGGCCCCCCAGTGACACCTCAGACCTAGGGCTGAGACCTTTCCTGGTAGCTGCAGTGAGGTGTCCCCACAGGGGGACAGCAGGGCAGGAGGGGGTGACGCACGGCAGGAATTTGGGCTCTGCAAACCTCACCTTGACACCGTCCCTGAGCACGGGGCTGGGCACAGGGCTGGGGCAGGGCTGGGGGCCGCGGCCGGCTGGCCCTTGGCCCGCGTCACCCGGGTTCAGGAGGGTTTCGTGTTGTTCGCTGTCCTCCAGGAGCGACTGGCCTGGGATTATGAAATAGTAATGAGCTTCCCTCTCTCTTTCTTGCCCTCTCCCTCTCTCCCCCTGGCCCCGGGCTCTCTAGAGTTACCTCAGCCCTTTGCTTGTGATCTGCTCAGAGCCATCTCCTCTGAGCAAATCCCAGCACGGGCGAGATGCTGGAGGGAGAGCGGTGCTGACAGCCGGCTCGCAGGAGCCTTCCCCCCTTGCTTGTAAGCCGTGAAGGTAACGGGGCTGGGGAGGAGCGACCAAACCCTGGGGAAATGCCAGTGCATCCACAAGAGGGGCAGAGAGGGGCGGGGGCCGCAGCCTTCCCTGGAAAAATCATCCTCCCCTCCGCTTTGCCGGCTCCGTCACCCGCTCCACGAGCGGCGCGGGAGAGCGGCTGTGAGCAACGGCCAGGTTGGCACGGGCGGCGCGTGGGGACGCCTCCCCCGAGCCCTTTTCCACTTGCTCTTTCTCCATAGTGGCTGCAGCGGGGGAGATGTCCATCGTCACGCAGGACCTCACCAGGCCCCTCCGGCCTCCCGGAGTAGGAGACAAATCTCAGCAGTGAGGAGGAATGGGCTGGGAGAGGCAGTGAGAGCCCCAGTGCCGGGGCCGCTCTCGGAGGAGGTAGAGGGAGTTTGGGAAAGGCAGCTTTCCTCCTTGTCCTCGGCACGGGGGCGGCATCACCGCATCCCGCTCCTCCCCGCAGGATCATGCCGTGGAGGCCCAGGGGCGCGAGGCTGGCAGCACTACGGACCCGGGCGGGCCCTGGGACACCCTGTGCATCGTAGCACCTCAGTGCGAGGTGTACGTGAGTGTGGGCCCCGCAGACGGGACCGTGCGGTGAGTACGGCCGGCACCACGCTCAGTCCAATCCTGCTTGGTGGGAATATCCCAGCAGGGGCAAGGGAAGCTAGGCCATGGCTGTAGCAGGGGGATAGGGGTGGGAAGATGCAAGAGATCCTGTGTCTGGAGCTGTGTGTGCAATGCTGCTGCCCTTGAGCCTCCCGGGTCTGTGCTGACCACCGGTTCTCCTGTTTCCCTGCTCCACAGCTGGGAAGGGAGCTGGACATACCCCCTGCTCAGCCCCAGAGCAGAGGGTGAGCACGGGGAAGGCAGCACCAAGCCCAGCACCGATGTCCGCACCTGTGCCGAACCCAACTCCACGCTCCCCAAGGTAAGATGGGGAGTAGCAAGAGGGTCTCTCTTGGTTTGGGCTATTTCATTCTCCCCTGCTCCCTTGCCCCAACCCCTCCATACCATATCTGCTGGGTGCTTTCACAAACTCCTGAGATGCAAGCGGGGATCGTTCGAGGCATTTAGTCCCCACAAAATGTGGTCTCCCCTTAGCAAATGAACAGATTTACTCATAGATTGCCCCATGAAGGTTTTCTTATGTTATTCCTCGGCATGCCAGCTGATGTCGGGCTGGGATCACCTTATGCTCCCCTTGCTCCCTTCCTGGTCCCTGTTCACCAGCAGCTTTGGACCGAATGGGCTGTAACTCCTCACCTCTGCTTCTGCCTCTATCCCACAGAGGCTTCCAGTGGCAGCTTTCTGCCCTCATTGCAGAGATCTGCTCTATCTTGTCTCTCAGGACAGGGAAATGACCAGGCTGTGGGACAGCGTTCTGGGATCAGGCAAGCGGGACATGATGAACTACGCATGCCCCAAGGAAGAGGCGCGGACGCAAGTCCTGCAGACGGACAGAGCCAGGTGGGGGCAGCCTGTTCCCTCAGCACCCTGGGCAAGAGCAGAGTCCCAGAGCTTTAGGAAAGAAATCTGCCCTCTGAAAGCAGGTACACTTGGTTTGCTCCCATGGTACGTCTTAGTCTGGGCTTGCTTTACGCATGGGGACCTTTATGGGAGTCTGAATTTCACAGCAGAACTTTATTTAAACTGAAGGGGCCTGAGCTCTCCCAGCATCTCTTTATTCTGTGCCTAGTTTTGGTCCCAGAGGTCTGACATACCCCTCTGGGAACATGCAAAAGGATAAGGCCCAGATTCTGTGAAACTCTGTATCTCTTGTGTGTGGACCTCAAAATGTGGCTCTCCTGAGTGTTGTCTGTCTGCATGGCTTGGTGCGCCCTTGGTTTACAGCATCATGTCTCAATGCTCCTGCCCCACCTGGACAGTTTCTGGGATTTGTCTGTGCCCTCAAGGATTGTAGCTCTCCCATGAAGATGTGCATTGCAGTAGATGCAATGGTGCTCTCCTGCATCGCTCATGCCTACCGCAGTAACTGCTTTCTCCCCATCCCAGAGCGTGGTCTCAAAAGCCAAAAGCCCGCAGAGAGCTGGGCAAGAACTCGCACAGAGAGCAGCTATTTCTCCCTGGAGCGCCGGAAATCTGACCCTGCCTGGGTTTCCCTGCTGCCCCG